ATTTGGAGCGTTAGATAAAACGTAAAAACAGACCGGGGAGTTTAGCTACACAGCCGTCCTCGGCGCCATCTTCCCACACCTACAGTATTCCTTGATCCAATTCAAAAGTTTCCAGACCTGGGACCATTTTCCAGCTTCACTGGACACTGTTCTCCTATTGATACAGCCTAGAATCACATTGACTTTTTTGGCTGTTGACTCATGTTCAGTTCGTAGTCTACTAAAACTCCAAAATCGCTTTCACATAGAATTGTTCTCAAGACAAGCGTCCCCACCTTATATCTGTGCATTTCATTTTTTTCTGCCAAAGAGGAGTTATTGGAGTTATGCCATTGAGTGGACCAATCATATCTGATGGAAACAGGTTTGATTTATTCGATCTGCTGCAAGACCTTCTCCAAAGTTTCTAGATCTCCTGAAGATGTAGGAAAGTGTGGCCAAGAAACAGCCTTGTGCTGAGTCTTTTGGGGGCCGTAGAAACCTTTATTTCTTTCAAGCCTTGAGAAAGGCATTATTGGGGTGGAGGAGGGTGCTTGGAACATGAAGCACAAGTTCAGGAGGATGGGGTTTGGAATATCGAATGTACCTTGGTTGCATGTGATCTGGCCACTGAATCTTGGGTTTGCATGCTCACTTCAGAAAGGAACTGATCAAGGTGCTGAAGGCCAGTCTCCAAGGAGGCTTGATCTCCTCTACCTCGCTTTCTTTTTCCTCCTTTGCTTTGGAACTTGAATGCAATTGGGACAAAACTGCCCATCCCTTTCTGTAAATAAAGAGCCTTAATGCGTAAGGCATATACGCATTAATGCGTAAGGCATATACGCTGTTTAACATCTACATGAAGCCGCTGGGCGAGATCATCCGGAGTTTCGGAGTGAGATGTCATCTGTACGCAGATGATGTCCAGCTCTGTCACTCCTTTCCACCTGCTACTAAGGAGGCTGTCGAGGTCCTGAACCGGTGCTTGGCCGCTGTGACGGTCTGGATGGGGGCGAACAAATTGAAATTGAATCCAGACAAGACAGAGGTACTCCTGGTCAGTCGTAAGACCGAACAGGGTATAGGATTACAGCCTGTGTTGGATGGGGTCGCACTCCCCCTGAAGACACAGGTTCGCAGTTTGGGTGTGATCCTGGACTCATCGCTGAGCCTGGAACCCCAGGTTTCGGCGGTGACCAGGGGAGCATTCGCACAATTAAAACTTGTGCGCCAACTGCGACCGTACCTTGGGAAGTCCGACTTAGCCACGGTAGTCCACGCTCTGGTTACATCCCGCCTTGATTACTGCAACGCTCTCTACGTGGGGTTGCCTTTGAAGACAGCCCGGAAGCTCCAACTAGTCCAACGGGCGGCAGCCATGGTACTAACAGGAGCGGGGCGCTGGGAGCACACAACTCCTCTGCTGCACCAGCTCCACTGGCTGCCGATATGCTACCGGGCTCAATTCAAAGTGCTGGCGTTGGCCTTTAAAGCCCTAAACAGTTCTGGCCCAACTTATCTATCCGAACGTATCTCAGCCTATCAGCCCACCAGGACCCTAAGATCTTCTGGAGAGTCCCTGCTCTCTATCCCACCGGCTTCCCAAGTGCGGCTGGTGGGAACGAGAGACAGGGCCTTTTCTGTGGTG